AAGCCCCTGGTCAGCCAGTAGAGGCCACTCATAGCTTGCTGAAACTAGATGGAAAGTGAACCTCCATCTCTATAGCCCTGTTGAGCATCATTTTGAGCTGTGGAAAGTTAAAATTGTAACGCAGAAAAAGATTACTATGAACTAGCATGAAGGCACTTGCCACTTTGCATCTTAGTTTGACACGTGTGCAACCTTTCTGTTGAAGCACTGAGTACTCACACAGATGTGTAATCACTATTACAATATAGAGACAGTGTTAGCAATCACACCAAAACATGAATGATGATTAATATTCTAATAAGCTAGTAATTTTAAATTTCCAGTTCATACAGATTATTAACTGGGAGAAACTGTGTACAATGGGATTTGAAATCATTACATCATATACTTTAGTCATATGTTGCTGTATTTTATATGTATATATCTAATATACATATATGTATGTATAGTGTATATATAGTACATGTATATACATATATGCATATATATTATACGCATATGTATATGTATTAGGATATGTGTATTTCTCGAGATGACTTCATCTCAAGGACATTACACTGCATCCAGCTACTTTCCTGGAGGCTCTGTCCGCCCTGAGCACTCTTCAGTCAGACACACCCTCACTCTGCTCTCATCAGCCTCATGTACATTTTTGTGAGTTTTGCAAGTTGTTCTGCAGAAATATTTACTTTTTTCACATGTTGCTTTAAAAGTGTGTCTGTGTTCTTTACCTTTTGTGATTGTGAGCATGGGTAGCGTCGTGAAGTATTTTATTTACTCACCCCTCTCTGTCTTGGCAGAGTTCTGAGAGTGGCAGTGTTGGCACAGGCCCCTCGCCTCAAGTGCTCATGGAGTAAGTCTGAAGGTGTAAATGTAATAACCGGTTGCCACACCGCTTTATAGAATATTAGTTCCTCAGCCTTTTTAAAAAATGAAGATAACTCCAGAGACCGGCACACAGAATCAGTTTCCTTGTCTTTTTGCCCCTGTCCCTCAACACCCAGCTCTTGCTTCCCATGCCCAGAATTTAAAGACATATTTTGAAGCTTTTGGGGGGTTATTTTCCTTAATATTTATTACATGTATTTGAGGACACATTGGTTCAGGACAGCTTGACTGTAAAAGTTTGCTTCTCTCCTCCATATTGTCAAGTTAATCATTATCCTGAAAAAAAGAGGAAACTTGTATGTGGACAAACTGGCAGGCAGTTCAGGCCTTGCCTCCCTCCAGCCTGGAGGCTACAGGCCTTTGACTAGCCAGGCTCGCCAAGTTGAAAAGCCTTCTATTGAATGGCAGCCTGTCATGGTCAGTGTTCGTCGGTGTGGGCACTGAGGCAGAAGACTGTGCGGACGGCACTCAGCTGTGGCGGACAGTGAGCACGCGGCTGGTGGCCAGGGTGGCTGGAGGCACAAGCAGAGCTGCTGCATCTTCATACTGCTGTTCGGGTGCAGCTGCAATCATCCCCAGTCTTCAGCACGGTGGCCCCTCCACATTGGCCAGCCTTGTCCCAGTCTCACAAGTGTGTCTCAGCTCAGTTTCTGGTTCAGGGACGGATATGTCAACTGAAACTTGCAAGAGGTTGTATTGGGAAAATGAAAACCAGGTGCTGTTAGTCTCTGAAAACCACCAGTCATCACGTTAAATGTCATGATGGAGAAGAACAAGAACTGAGTGAGGGGCTAGGTGTTCCTAGATGGACCTGTTCTGTAAGCTGAGGGACTAGGTGTTCCTGGCTCCACACTTTCTGTTAAAGCGGGGGGCTAGGTGGTCCTGGCTGCACACGTTCTGCTAAACTGAGGGGGGGGGCAGGTGTTCTGCACAGGGCCACTTGCTTGCCCTTCCATTCTGTCAGCAGTTGTTCTTAAGTGTGGTTAAGGTGTTCATCTTTCGCTACCACAATGTTTGCTGAGGTCAACTACTTGGCTGCAAACAACAGCAGCAAAAGCTGAAATGACAACAGAAAATCACATAGAAAGGCTTTTTTTCTGGTTGTGCTGTCTTGTTTTGATTGGTAGAAGCACAAATAATGTAAGTAAAGATACTTTACTTAGAACCACACTCGCTGTCAGTGTGATGATATTTAGCAGCTGAACCCTAAAGACTTAGGGCATGCCATATGGTTTCTGAGATCACTGTTACTAATACTAATTACATAAATGTTGATCTCTGAGTTCTACAACTCCCCAAGATCTCTGTGTCATGCAGACACTGTTTCTATATGAAATTCAAAGTACCTCTTCTAATAATTGCATGAGCTAAGATTTTTGGTACTAATAAACTTGACTATCTTGTTGTCCAGATGGTGTATATATCCAATCCTAGGGATGCAGAAGCCGATGGGTCTCAGAGTTCAGAGCCAGCCTGGTCTACAGGGAGTTTCACTCTAGCCAGGGCTACACAGTAAGACTCTGCCTCAAACAAACCTGAAACCTCCCCAACTATCTGAATATTTGATCTACCTAGTTAAAGAGGTGCGACTTACAATAGTTGGTGATTTCTTTCTAAAACAATTTGCTCTGATTGGAAAGTTTTGGCTTTATGGTTTATTGTTTTGGGGAAGGCTGCACACTGACCGATACCTCCAGCTTTTTATTTTATTCTTTGAGACTAATTGTTTTATTTTGTATGTATGTGTGAATATAAGTATGTATGTATGTGTAGCAGATATATGCAGAGGCCAGAAGAGGGCATCAGACCTCTGGAACTGGAGATGGTTGTGAGCCACCACATAGTTGCTGGGGAACAAAGCCCAGGTCCTTGACAAGGACAAGAAGTGCTTTTAACCACTCCGTCGCCTCTGTAGCCTGATTTCATTTTTTTTTTTATAAATATCATAGATGCTGAATTAATCATTAGACCTGCTATGATTTTTTACAATTCTTATGTTTCTGAAGGGTTAATTAAGGTCGGCATGATATGCACAGTATATCATGCTAATAATCAGTCATATTAAACATTTTCAAAGTTTAAAATGCTCTGAGACTTTAGGATAGCCCTGCTTTCCATGCAGGAGTGGTTCATTGAAGATGTCATGCTCAGATTTTGGGTAAGGCTTCTCCTTGTATGACACTGAGGTGTGACCCTTAAAATGTCACAGCAGTGACACTTTAGCTCATTTTTGGAGTGCTAAAATGTGTCCACTTTGTCTATGTTTAAAAGCAAAATATAAGTATCTTAAAGGATCTGCAGGACACTCACTTGGGTTTTTCCAAGGCCGGTTTTTCCAAGGCCATGGCACATGTAAAGTCATTTGAATGTCTATATTTGATTCTTTAAATATATGAATTATTTGTTGCAATTGAAGGGAGCTTGTAGTTTTTTAGACATATGTCCAATTCCTGAGAAATATCCAATAATATTATTTTTGACTGGATTGAAAGCTTACATTTGTATTGTGCTATAAACTTGTTATAAGTTCTGTTTTATTATATTTCCCTATATTGTTTTCATCAGGCCATTTATCACATGGGTATATGTGAAATTTCTTCATCTATTAAATTTCAGATTAAGTATTTCAAGCCAGAGCAAGACTTAAATATTTTCGCATAAGTGTAGCTTCAGGTAAACAAGCAATTTTAACCTCGAAAATAGCTCCTGCTTCTGTCAACATGCTGCTTATTTTTTCTCTGAGATAAAAAGTTCAGTTTTCTGATATTTGTACCAAGATAAAGTCAGTAAACAAGATTAATATAGTGTGGAAAAGGTTGTCAGCAGCCCTGGCAAAGGAAATAAGTTGCCTGTACATAGACCATACCGTAAACTGAATAAAAGTGTCAGGTCCGCCATGAGATAATATGATCACGGACGTCTAACAAACCATGACACAGGCCCAGGCGGCTTCCCACAGCCCCAGTGTAGAAAATGGATTACTGTGTTCCAGGGATACCTACTGGAACAACATGAGACTCTGCTCCACGGTGGATGCGGGATATGGCCCTGGAGCTGAGCGTGTGTGTGTGTGTGTGTGTGTGTGTGTGTGTGTGTGTGTGTGCGCGCGCGAGCGTGCTCCTGCCGTGCATGGATCACTGTCATCTCCTGCACGCTGACCCTGCTTGTATAGGAATGCCAGAGTGGATGCTTGCTACTCAAGGGGTAGAAGAAGAAAGGTTCCCCCAAATGTTCCTTTTTTAGGCCATGCTGGTTTTACTGTGTCATGGTTAAAATGGCTCTCCTGTAATTAGATAGTAATAGCTTTTATTATGAGGGAGCATGGCTCAGAGTCCTTAGCTGTACGTTCATACCCTGTCATTGGTAATGGCAGATTCATCCCTTCATAGCTGCCTTTTGCTCCATTTAAGAACAGCAAGGATTCTGTGGAGTTCATAACAAACCTAAACAGTTGTCATCATAGATAAAACACCTGGTGTTTTCTTTATAGAATTCCTAATTTATATAGACATTGAGGAACAAATACTGTTCCTTTTGCTAAAATTATATTTCACTCAATGTAAATACCAAGATTGTTCCTTCTTTTGTGGAAATACATAAAAAGAGCCCTTCACTGCTCTTTTGACAGAAGTTCTTGTTTACACTTGGATTTGCACATTTTAATGCAAGTGTCTATGTTTAGGATCTTACCACAAAGCTGGTTTCCCAGAAGCGGCACCTGCTCACGAGTGGTCTGGTTGACCTCTCACGCTAGTTAGGCAGTGTCTGAATGGTGAAGTCACTCCTCTGTTCTTAAGCACAATGTGTACACTTGTCAAAGTGCTCTGATCACACCTTAAAAACCTAGTGTGCTAATTCTGTTAGACCAAAAGAATCGAACTCCCTGGGAGTTGACATGTCAGGGGTGCTGGGCGCCAGGCTCAGGTTGGAACCACCCTGCACCTCTGTAGCCCACAGAGGACCTTTCTTCCCAAGCCTTTTGCCCCTTGTCATTTTGCCTTGGATTTGAAATTAATGTTTTTTCTTCCATTTAGAAAGATGTCTTCAAATGGATGCAGCATTACATTGTCTTCAGCAAACCATTGTGACTTGTTTTTGTCGTTTGTTTTCAGATGTCTGCTCCTGGCCCTGTCAGTAACAAGAGGATGGTTCACTTCTCCCCAGATGCTCATCACCATGAGTGAGTGCTCATGTTTCTGTAGCTTGCTTGGGTTATCCATCTGTTTCTCTAGGAAACTAATCACTATTTGTGAGTTAGGACACTTTAATTTGTGCCTACTGTAATAGCATAATAAGGCACACGGAGGTAACAGTATAAGAACAACTGCAGTAGAGCCCATGACAGAGTAGAAGGACTTGGGACTTCATTCTTTATTTCCACAGAGTTTGAAGTTCATGCCCTATTCAGTGGAATCTAGGCCCTGTCTAAAAACATTTAAATCTGGGTGACATTGGCCTGTAGCAAGCCTGTGGGCCAACCCTTCTATGGTACCAGTGTGAACGCCAACTGACCCATCTTCACGATGCTTCTCCACTCTGGTGTCTGCCTGCCTGGCTAGCCTTTGCCTATCGTAGTGAAGACCTATAATGAAACCAAAATATGTTTGGTTTAGCAACAAAAAATGGTGCAGTAGGTAACTTTACATAGATAAGCAATTTGTATGACTTACTATAAATTAGAGATAGGATTTCTCAATAGTAACCTTAATTCTAAATAGTCTTATTGGAAAACCCTGTCTTATGTGTGGTAGTTTGATGTTATGAGTCTCTTCTGCCATCTGAAGTTGGTTGAAATTGAGGCCTGTAAGATGTGGAAATTCATGAATTATCAAATTTTTTTTTGTAAGAAAAAATAAGTCTAATTAAGATCTGTTTAAAAAAAAAACTGGTTTTCTTTTAAAACAAAAACAAAATCTGCATCCTAAATAAAAAAACAAACTATTGTCCAGACATAGCAAATTGATATCAAGAATCTCCCTTGTTTTCTTGCTTGATATGATGAAGCTTTAAAAATAAATAAATAAAATTCAGAACTGCAGCCAAATGTTATATACAGCTTTCACATTAATTTTCCTTTGATGAACTACAGAAGCTGAGGCAAGTAGATGTAGAACTATTTTAGAGCATTCCTTTTTGTACAGGAAGAGTGTAAACACTCAGCGGACATGCTTCTCCTTATTGCTGCCGCTGCAGTCCTGTGTCAGCCCTGCACCTGATGGATACAGTCACTGAGTGTCTGGAGACTCCAAGTATTGATTTAAACTAGGGCACACTGACCTGCCTATGGGACATGGCAGTGTGCCCATGCCAGCACATGGGAAGTGGGAGCAGAAGGATCAGGAGTTAAAGGACATCTAGAACAGACTTGAGGCCAGCCTCTGCTTCATGAGACTGTGTCTCCAAGTCTGTGATAAGTAGAGAAATGAGTAAGTAAGAAAGAACAGGATGCTGACTGCAGTGTTGCTTCTAAGTGGACAGGGCTTACGCTCAGTGTCCCTCCGTCTCCTCCACCCCAGGATGTCTGTCCTGGGTTCTCGGTATGCTAAGGTGCTCCCAGAGTAGCAGGCATTAGGTTCCCATTCCCGTGTGTGTGCAGCCTGCCACTGCTTTACCACAGAGAATTCCAGTCTCTACTCCAATCTCTGCCTTCCTCATGGCTCTAGTTCCGTTCCCAGTGTCTGTCTCTTCTGACCTCTTCATTCCCATTTCCTCCCCATGGCCTTCTTGATGACCTTTTATGTCATTGTAGAGTCCTTGTGGATCTTCCAGTCTCTAGCTTTCCATGGTCCTCTCCATTCTCAGCACATAAAAAGATCAGGTCAGCTTCTATGCTCTCAGTGTCTCCTGTATGTCACCTCTGCCCTGTAACCTTGGATTGGCTCCTGTCAGGGCTCTTTGCAAAGACTTACGTCAGCGTGTGGTAGGTACAGATTTACACCGACATAATTTGCGGTTGTTTTGTTTTAGTTTTGCTTTTCTTCAGGTTTATTTTTCCTTTGTTTTCTTTTCTCACGTAAGTAAAGAAAAGGAGCTTCTTTTGAAAAGCTCATCAGTATCGTTTGGGCTTCTCTGTCTCCCTTTATAATCCGTATTCCATTCTAGGCTGCTGTATCAAAACACCACAAAGTAGATGGCTGAAACAAAAAACATACCATTTAGCCAGGAAACGCCAGATCTCAAGCAAAGCTGTCAATATAGTTAGCTCCCTCCTGGGGCTGGGAGAGAGAAGGCACTTCCTGCTTGTTTCCTTGCTTCTCAGAGTTCACAAGCAGTCTCTGCTGGTCCCTCCCCCACCCCACCCAACTTCAGTGGCATTTTCCATGTGCTGGTCTTTGTCAGAATTTCTCCTTTATAAGGCACCAAGGCAGGCGAATGAGATGTTCCACAGTGTCACACCGGACTGAGGCCCTGTCTCACTGACCTCATTTTAACTTGTCTCTGTAGGGAGCCTATACCTATATCCAGAAAAGATGCTATTCTGGATCAATATCAGATATTAGGACCCATGTCTGCAGGGACACAGTTCTGCCAGTCACATTGCCATCGTTGTCCTTCTCTCTGATGTCCTCATGGTTATTGTCTTCTGGTCTTTGAGATGGCTGCTTCTGGTGCTCCTCTCCTCTCTGCTCTGAAGAGGATAGTGCCAACAGCACTCCTGTTTCACCTTTCAGCAAGGACCTCTTCATGGCCATTGGGCAGAATCAGAATGCCTGGTCGTCGTGGCTTTTAATCTCCTTTAGGAGATTAGGAAAGAGGAAATGTAGTAGCTTCAGCTGATAACTCTAATAACTCTAGTTCACCTCAGAGCTACTTGTAACCATAAACCTAAGAAGGAGATGCTCTCCAGTAAGTAGCTATTGACAGAATTGTCATGCCCAGCCCATTAGCCCATCGCTTCACCATCCACGTCTCTGTTCTTTCCAGGCTTACACAGTGTGCAGAGTACTCTAGCCTTTCCCAGAGGAGAGCTCTTCTAGATCTCCTAGGGTTGGTTACTTCATCTCTCTCAGACTCCTATCCCGGACCTCTGACCAGTAGGGACTATTCAATCTGGCCATGAATCCTCTTGGTGAAGTAGCTTATGTACCAAAGCTGCACATCTGCAGTATAGAATTGTGCAGAAGGCAGGCCATCTCAACAGAAGATGAAGATTTCCACTTGGGAATGCCATTCCCAGTGCCCAGCATGCCAGAACATGCATGTGCATGGACCGCCATTCCTGAGAGAGGGCTCTGCCTTGTAGGAGCAGCTTGCTCTTAAGACTGACACATAGTTATAGCTGCACATTTCTCTATGGTAGAGGCAGGAGTCCTCATCAGCTGTTGGTAGCCATGTGGTTGATGCTTGGCCTGTCCTCACATACTCAGTGGGTTCCCTTGTTTTTGCTGCTGCTTCCTTGCTGGTCCTTCTTGGTCTGTACCCTAAAGAGTTCCATCTTGTGGCAGTACAAGCTGACCAGCAAGGGTGGGTTGAAACAGTGCTCTAGGTTTTGTCCACAGATGCTCATTGTCTCTGTGGGAGTTGCTCTGCTGAGTGGTTTCATAGCTCCACAGCAGCCTAGGCTTGGGAAGCTCAGTACATGCAGGTGAGAGCTCTCCATCCTCTGCCTCTTTCCAAACTTGATTTTCTAGTCTAATGTTGTTGAGCAGGACGGTGGAATCTTGGATTTCTTTTTCATGACATTGAGAGTTAAAAGACAACAGAGCTTTGTATCTGGAATGTCACCCAGCTAGAAGTTACTCTGTGGCCAGTTATCTGACTTAGTTCCTGAGACAGCCCTTCCTGATGCTGTGACAGGAACCCAGGAAATGAATGGGCTGATCTTCTCTGTGTCTACCTTACAACTTAAGGACCTGTAGGAAAGCAGGAAGCGGTCACTAGCCTACTGTGTTTATTCTATCGATGATTCCTCTCTAGGCCTGCTTACACATGACTAACCTTTACTCTCAGAAAAGCTAAAGAAGGAGGATTATAAGTTCAAGGCTGGCCTACATAGTGAGACTTAGGTTTTGTTGTTGTCATTCTTTAGTTTTGATTTGGTTTTTAACTTTATCATATCTCCAAAACTGTCTTATAGAAAAATACTTAAAACAGTTTCAGTTGTGGGCTGGGGAGGTGGCTCAGTGGAGGAAGGGCTTGCTATACAGGTGTAAGGACCTGCATGAGTTGTATCCATACCCTTCAAAGAGTGCACACACACATTTGGACACCACTCACACAAGCATGGGATGGTACAGTGTGACCACTGGTCAAATGTCACAGGTAAATAGAGTTGGGTGAATAGAGTCAGTCACTGTGCCGGCTCTATAGAGCATGAAGGGACTTTGAGTGTTGAATGTAGGCAGCGGAGGATTGCAGCTCCCAGGGCTCTGTCTGTGCCAGGATGTGTATAAACATCTGGGAAGGCGTCGTAGGAGTCTCCAGCTGGAGAAGGGAGAGCTGGTTTTAGGGTTCAGAGAACCATAGCAGTGGGATATTCCATAGTGAAAGCTCTCTACTGAGGAGGAGAGTGGATGTCAGTCAGGTAAGGTGTAGGTAAAGGTTGAGCTGCAGCTCTGTGGTCAGGCACTCATGGCCATGCTCGCCACCCATTACTTCCGTAGCCAAATAACCAACTAAGTAAATACTATGCAGTAACATTTCAAGATGATCTCTGTTATAAAAACTAATACAGCGTATCATTTGCTGATGGCAGCATTACTACACACCTTATAACACTGCTCTTGTAGACATGTGGAACACACACTGAAAAAAGAGTACTGTAGTTATACTGTTGTGATCAGTTTAATAACAGTTTGTTTTGTGCTGTTCTAACTGGGGAAAAAAAACTACTTAGTAATTATTCCCTGGAAAAGTATTATCATATTGAAAGCCCAGGCATTACGAGATAGTTGTTCCCTTTTAGCAGGAAGTACTAAGCACAGACAAATGAAGTGTGTGATAATATAAGATCCACACAGAATGTGCCAAGAGCCTCAATCCAGCTAACTCGGGAAGTTAGCTCTAACTTCTGGTTAAAAAGAAAGTTTGAGGAGACAAGAGACATGGCTCAGTGGTTAAGAGCACATACTGCTCTTCCAGAAGCCCGGTGTTCAATTCTCAGTACCCACATCAGGAAGCTCATGCTCACTGTTACCTCAGTACCAGGGGAACCAGTGCCTCTGCTTCAGTCAGAATCCATAGTCACAGGGCACACGGTCATACATAGACAAAACTAATCATTGCCACTATCACCATCATCATCTTAAAATAGTGTTTGGGATGTAATTGTCTCTCCCATCATTCTACTGCCTTTCTAAATATGTAAATAGTAAAATGTAATAATTTTACTATCAAAATTTACTATTTACTTTGGAAGTAGTAAATGTAAAAATTAAATGTAAAATTAAATTATACAAGGTCCTCTTAGAACCTTGTATAAGGATAAAGTAAACTTTGTTTTCATTAAATGATAGCAAAGCCAGGCGTGCTAGTACATCCCTCTACTGCCAGCATTTAGGAGGCAGAAGCAAGAGACTTAACTGCCAGCGATCACAAAACTAGTCTGAACTTCATATTACTAAGCCAGCCAGGGTAACATAACATGATCTTGTCTTGAAAACCAAAAAATGTTCCAGCATTTTATCTACTCTCTAACTTTTCTCAATTACTTGCAAGATACTTACCTTTAAAGAGATAAATGTGATTTATTAATTGATTCTTAAATTGATATTCCTATCCTGTTTCTTTTTTTATATAAAATATAACTACTTTAAAAGCTATATATAGAATTAACTTTTTAAAAATGTCCACAGATAACTCATTACAGTCCTATGATGAATTCCTTCATAAAGCAAATATTCATTCATTTTATCTTTTGAGTAAATATCAGGCTTGCTTTAAGCAAGATTTGACTGGATTAAAGGTTATGATCACTGGGAATACTTTTTCACTTTTACGTTTAGTATTTATTACATTATGGGGAAAGGGGCTTAAACTCTAGGTTGAGGTATATACAATATGCTGGAGCAGCTCCATCTCTTATTCATCATGGTTGCCATGGTGTGCGCCGTGAACGGACGCATCTCTGTTTTAGTTACAGAGTAAGTGAGGTTGCCTCCTTCCATAGGTGTTTGCAGAGCGCTGTGCAGTCTCTAGATGCTAGAAAGCACGTTGGCAGTTTGCACCTTACAGGTTTTCCTTCTCAGAACACTTTTCAATGTGTCATTTTAATGTCTTTATTCTCTGAATTACCAAAGCAGGTGTTCTTTCTCCATTTTATAGGTGATTTGACTTTTCCAGAGACACACACTGTAATTCTGCTTGACCAGAAATCAATTAGGAAACAAATATCTTTGGTGTCTCTGATATGTTTTGTGACATGCAAGCCCTGTGGGAATTCTGTAGGGAGCCGCAGTCATATTAATTCTTCTGTGGACATTGAGGGTCTCAAAGCTTGAGAATGAAACTACACATGTTCTGTAGCCCATGGTGTTCTGCGGGGGAAAGGACATTAATATTGATCTCAAATGCCTTCTGTATGGGAGATTAGAATTTATGGTTAAGCCTCCAAGTCCTGGGAAAGATCTTTATTTTTACTTATATTTTAGGGGGTGGGGGGAGTGGAGAAAGTGAGAAAGTATGCGCGTGGTCCACACATGGAGGTCAGAGGACAACTTTGTAGAATCATTTCCCTATGATGTTGGTTCCAGAGGTTGAACTTAGTCAAGCTTTCCTATGCCTTACTGAGCCATCTTGCCAGCATCCAATGTTATTTTTGTTGATAAGGAAGGAACCTAGACTCCAAATGGATAACATTTGCCAGAAGCTACCTGAGAGGTGCCAGAGCCTGTTCCCAAACTTGGGCTTTTCTGTTTATCAAGTATATCAAGCTAAACTTTCTGAATTTTCATTAGCATTTTAATAAAGTAAATGAAGCATTTAAAGAGCCTTCTGTTTATAGCTTTACAGTTGGTGTTTTATATCATAGAAAAAATTAATGAAGTAGGAATATCTTCATTTAAAAAAAACAAACGTGGCAGTTGGGGTTGGTCAAGCCCTGCCTGCCCACCATTTTAAGTCATGCTCTTCTGCACTCATCCCAGGGAACCTATGAGGGCTGTCCTCGGCGCATAGCAGCGAACAAGATGCACATGGTCACTGTGTGCATGCTACTCACAGACTTTGCCTATCATTAGTGGGAAACAGGCAGTGGTCAGTGGATAGGCACATGCACGTGTAACTGCATGATAGTTACATGTGTGTTATTATATACTAAGCTAAGGGCTCCAATTCTTACATTTTGTCTGGACATCGAACTATAACAACTGATAAATCTATGATGTACATGAATTGGGAGTGGAAAGAACATTTCAAGCAAATAAAAAGCATGTTCTGCATTCCAGAATCTGTCGCAATTGTTAGATTTTCAAGAGTAGCTTAAACAGATAACGTCAGACCAAACGGTTCGGGGGGGGGGGTGGTATTTAGGGCGGAGGGCAAAGGTAGGGAGACAAACAGGAGGAACATCAGAGAGAAGAGAGAAGTGGAGGCTGGCCATGATTACGTGGAGAGAGGGGGAAGGGAATGGGGGAGGGGGGAGGGGACAGAGAACCAAGGGAGCAAGAGAGGGAGGAGGGACCAAGCAGCCCCTTTTATAGTGGGCAGGCCTACCTGGCTGTTGCTAGGTAACTGTGGGGAGGAGCATACCTGGCTGTTGGCAGGTAACTGGAGGTGATGTTTAGACAGAATACTAAAAGCAATTCTAAGACATATGAAACACCATGAAGGCAGATTGTCACATGTGAAACTGGAGAAGGTTGTGAGCCAGGCCTGGAACACAGTTAAGGAGTCTTTCTTTATGAGTAGTGGAAAGCTAGCTGGACGGTTAGTCTGCTGTTTGAGCTCTCTTGGTTTCCATCCTGACAGGTCAATCCCCATTCTTACTTAGGTTGGTGTTGTTTTTAGGATTTTTCTTGTTTTGCTTTATTTTTGTTTTTTTACTGCTGTTTAAGGTAGCTACAAAGATTTAAGCTCTTAGCCAAATAGATTTTTGATGCTAGACTATCTTTCTTTAATTCTATATCTGAGGTAGAAGCTTGTCATGTTTCTGGTTTTCCCTCTCCTTTTTATCTTTTTTTGATAATTCTTGCATCACCTAGGATGATGCTCAGGACCCTGCGTCGTGGTCTCTTGAGTGCTGTGGTCAGAGGCGTACACCACCACACCTGGCTCTCCCCTTCTGTCGTGTACGTTATAGTTACAGATTTCATCGAGAAAAGACCTGTGCTTCAGAAAGAACATGTTCATGGTAGATGACTGTATAATGTATGGTGGATGACTGTATAATGTTTTCAGTGTTAATTTAGATTTTCAGTGATACCTCATTAAGGCCAATGCTATCCAGTAAGTCATTTGCAGTAGTGTACTGTACATTCGAACTGAAGTGAACTCAGTGGTGGTCTCTAAAACCACGTGTACCTTAAGCCTGCATTGTGACTGTAGGAACTGAGTATGTAATGTTCCTTTAAATTTAAATAGGTAGATCTGACTACTGTATGGCTACTATACTGAACAGCATATATTCAGATTGGATTACACACACATACACACACACACACACACAGACACACACACTCATAATTTTTTAAAAAAAAATTATTGCTTTTTGTCCAGAAAGAAAAAATCTATTTATAAAATCTATTTATAAAAGTACATTTTTGGAGTCTTCACTTAAAACCTTTGGGGTTGGCTTTGTCTTCTTGCCCAGGAGTGATGTTGGTTGACTACCTGTGAAATCCAGTACATTGCTGTTGCCGCTGTTTGGCTCCTCGGTTAGAGGGGATGATGGAAGCATGAGAAGGCATTATGTGCTACTCAGCATCTACAGAGCCCTGAAACACAGTATCCCTTCCGCTCTGTAGGTACAGGACCACTCTGCTTGAAAGATGTCTGCAAAAGGAGGGTACAAGGGTGGGGGGTGGGGTCACACTTCCCCCAGCAGAACCGAGCTGGCGTGATAGGCTCTGTTTCTAGATCTGCCCAAACCCTGCCCATATCCCACAGGGAGAACTGAGCCTAGAGGTCACATCCAGCTCTTCTACCTTGAGAGGACTTCCGGCCTGTGTCTTAGCCTTCCTGTTCTACCGGTTAATCATCTGTGTGTTTGCTGTGAAATCTTGACTAGAGTACAAATCCATGTATGTAGACATCACTGCAAGTGCAGTCTGCTTCAGGGTACCATCTGCCATATAAGTAAGCTTCACTCACATCTGAAGGACACTACTACCCATTTTTTTCTCTTATTTTGGTCTCTGTCTGTTTCAATCTCTCTCTCTCTCTCTCTCTCTCTCTCTCTCTCTCTCTGTCAGTGTACTGAGCCTGAAGCTCGCCTATTTTGTTAAATTGGATGATGGCCAGCAAGCCCCAAAACACTCCATTTTAAGCCTCCTCATTGCTAAATTTCAAGCCAATGTTGCCTTCTCAGGTTTACCAACTGAGTTGTCTCCCCAGCTCAGGGTATTTTTTTTTTTATGACAGTGTTATTAAAATCATTCCCTCATTATTCTAGGTTCTGTGGTCTCAGAAAGGAGAGAAACACCACAGAAACAGGATCCTAGCGATTCCTTTATCAAAACTTGGGGTACTAAACTGGAGGAGATAAAGGGGAGGTTGCCTAAGAACACAGGAGCCAGAGTCAGATGTTCTGGGTTCAGTTGCTACCCCAGTACATGGCAGCCCTGGCGGCCTGTGGGCCTGGGGGCCTGGGGGCCTGGGGGCCTGCGGGCCTGCGGGCCTGCGGGCCTGCGGGCCTGGGGCAGGAGATTGATAGGGTTGGGATGAGAAGTGCCCGGCCAGGGTGAGGCGCAGTGAGCGCTCTTTAGACACAGCAGTGCATGGCCACTGCTTCTGATAACTGATTCTTCCACACTTTCACTCTTGCCATTGCTGTGACTGTTGCTCTTAAACACTGTCCCTCTCTCAAGGAACTCCAGTTCTCCTTACTACCTTAAGTAAATACCCTGAAAGGAGAGAGATGTGAGCAAAGGTGCTGACACTGTAGAAGAGGAAGCCTGGAAGTCTGCCAGGGTGTTTGTGCGATGGTGCACACAGAGCCTACCCTCTCCCGAGCACACCAGTACCCCAGTAAAGTCTCTTCCTTCCACACCTACCTTTGTTCGTGGGATACTTGGACACTTGGATCCTTGGTTCTCTTGCTCTGAGATGCTGCATGTTCCTCAGTGGCCGCAGGCACAGTGACTGGAAGAGCATGGCTGTAGAGTCAGCACTGACCTTTGATTCCAACTGTTGCTTACTTAGGAATCTGTGGAAAATGACGTCATCTCTCTGAGCCTGTTTCTTTGTTTGCAAAGCATCTACCTCTGAGAGTTTGGGGATTAAATGCTAACTGTCTGGTTGATGGGGTACTCCTGAGACCAAGGGAACTACAGAGAGATTTGCATGAACTCTTCTAGCCAGCACTTGGACAGATTTGCTCCCTACTTGACCAGTGAGTTTCACTGGAGTGTGACCCAGGTACAAAAGCACTTCCTTGGTTATTCTGCAGCAAAACTCCCCAGAATTCCTAGCCTCTAGAATTTTGGTTTTCTGATGTTCTCCAGCTCTCTCTCCTTATTCACAGCCTTTGTTCATTAACTCATTCAGATGAACTTGGCCACTCACACCTTCCTTTACCCCCTTTCATACAGTTGTGCTTATTAGAGGAAATACACGTCTTTGTCCACTGTTGGCACTGGCTCCTGTGCTTTAGTTGGTCCTTTCTGTCCCGGGTCCATAACCACTCTCTCTGCCTACACGGTTTCCTTCCCTCCTTCCTCCTCTTAGCCAGTTCACTGATTCACATCCTCCTCCTTTCCCACCTGTGTATTATAATCTCAGGCCCTCCCTCCCCAACTCTGGGAACTTCTCCGGAGTCCCTCAGTGACCCTTCCAGAACCTGCCAAGTTACATTGCTCTATGCTCCAAATTCCACGGAAAGTTTTTAAAACTTATTTCAGGGTAACTTCCGTGGTCAAACTGCCTCTTAGGATTTTTGCCTCTTGGAAAACTTATTTCGAATCTCCTTACCCAAATCCTATGAAGGCAGAAAATAGAAAAGTGTTGAGAGAGAGGCCATAGATGAGGCTTCAACCAGTTTCCAGACCCAAGTGCAGCAACTGAATCAGCAGATACTAGGGGTTCAACAGATCCCACAGAAAACCATCGCATGCCTCTCAAAATTCTGTAGAAAAGCAGAACATTTAAAATAGGGTAGGCATTGGGTAGTGGCCCCCACCTTTACCACTGATGATGACGACAAAGTGTGACTCTTTATTTAAAGGAGGCTGAAGGGAAAGCAAAAAACACAGCAGAGAAGCCAGGCCAACACCAGCTGGGGAAGAACGTAAGAAGTGTGGTGGCAGGAAGTGGCCTGTCACTTAGTAGTAGTGATAGGACATCTTCTCCTTCTCTCGATGTCAGGCTAAAGCAGAGAGTGTCCAGAGCTAGAGAAGAGTAAATCTGTACTGACAGGAACTCAGTTATTAACATAAAATCATTTACATACCACCACTATGCCATGTTCTTATAAAACGTAGCATGGTTGTGAAAAGGAAAAGACCAAAAGCTGTTTCTCCAGCCTGCCTTTGGAGCTAGAAGAGATGGCACAAAGGACTGTGGCTTTAATCCTGTTAGGAAATGATTCACTAGGGTGTGCATTTGATCTTTAAATACTGGGCTTTAAAACAATCCACAGCAGAAAAGGCATCTTGGCCAAGCTGTCAGTGGAGCTCTCATTGAAAGTTTGCTTCTAGCTGGTAGCTGATCGAGTGTTAGCACTAACACCAATGAAGTGTCCCGTCTCATGGCAGTGTGGGTTCTGGCCTGCCAGGGAACATCAGGAGCCATGACCTGGAAAATGGCAGAGGAGAAGTAGGCCAGCCGGCTCCTGTGGAAGCTGGTCACTCACACCTGGCTGGCCCAGACTCTCTAGAGAGACTATAGTGTATAAATATGCTGTTCTCGGGATACTAAAGGCACTTACAGTCACTAGTATTCTTGTAGTTGTGAGTGTTTTCAACTTCACAACTTCAATTTCTACTCCTACATATTTGCTGTGCTACTGGAGCAGTAGGTGTGTAGCTGATAAACACTCCCAGGGACACATATACTGAGAATCTATGAAGGGTCTGTGGAAAGATTACTGGGCTTGGTGACAGAACAAGAAGATTTGGCTGTGCAGCAACTGTGGCTTCACGGTTGTGGAACTTGTTCTAACCCACTACTGTGATTGCTTAGCTGGGAAAGGAATGGATCCAAAGTACAAAGTGGGGCTCTGGGATTCACAACTGGGATTTTTCTTGTTTTTGTCTTGAGTGCAGAGCTGCCGAATAGGATATTCTTGTATTTTCAACTCTTTTTAAATAACTCCAATAATCAAAAGTCATAATTTGGCATAATGATGCTATAATTAAGTTGTGGCAAATGATAGCATTTGTAGATTTTATAACCAGAATTGATTTGTAAAATGAACACAGTCCCAGCAGTTTATGTTAACATAATTAAATGGAAATGTAATTCTAACTCCGTTTGCTTATTAAATTGAAAATTACTGGGTTATGAGCACTCTTACATTCCTGTCAAAATTGGTGTAAGTCTAGAATTACATGAAATATCCATTAAAATAAAGCATATTTAAGGTTCTGTTGCTAGTATGAACAAATTCCTTAAAACATATGCTGACTGTTCATTGGAGAGCAAGTGCTTCTGGGGAGGGGCCAGCTCACAACTCTTCTTCTCTCCACAGCCACTGGTTTAGCCCTGGGGCTAGGACAGAGCACGGCCAGGTAAGGGACCATCTCCTTCAATGTGTCTGTCTACTTTGGGATAGTAAGTGAGCATAGAGAGGGCAGCTTATTTTAAAAGGAAGCAATTGTGCTGGGGCTTCCTACTGACCTCAGCACGCATCTGAGCTCCCTCCCACTGCCACTGTCCTGAGTCACACAGGTAACCACTGTCTAGGACTTTACTAGGAACTACTGGGTGTGGTTGTGCATGCCTGTGTAATCCAGTGCTTGGGACATTAAGATGCAAGGATCAGGAGTCCAGTATCCTTATCCATGTAGTGGGCTAGCCCATGAGGCTAGCCTGGTTGGCAGGAGAAATTGCCTCAAAAATCCAAGCCAACAAGTAAATTAAAACTATGGTAAGGCCAGGCAGCACAGGCTGTGTTGTTGAGCTGAGGAGGAGGCAGTCGTTTCTTCTGAGATTTGACATATTTTGGTGGGTGTTTTAAGCTAGCTGTTTGATGTACATGGCAGTGCAATGAGTCGTTGGGCTGGCAGGAACTGGACGTTCACTTTGGCTGTCTTTACAGATGAGTGAGTGTATTAATTGTCTCCTTAAAACATGCCAGTATTATTTAGAGTTAGATCATGGTAAATCTTAAAACTTACAATTTAGTATTTGACTCCTTGTGAGGGATTTTGCTCTTTTGAATGATAGAGTTATGTTTAATCATGTGATCCATAAGGAAGCCACTGTCTGAAAGTTCACAGGACTCTAAGGAGCTGGGGCTGGGAGAGGAGAGTTCATCTGGCATGAGAGCCTTCAGAGGCCCTGGGCTTAGCTCTGCACCAGGAGAGAGTGAGTGCGTCTGCCACTCCTAGCTTCTAGAGAGAAAGGTACCAGTTCTTTCTCACTTTTTGAGTCATAATCCTTTTGACCAATTTTTAGTTTGGCTTTTTGCTTAAAGCTCAGTATGCATTCCCCATTTTTTGTCTTGACTCAATAAGTTATTAATTAGTAAATGTAGGTAATGTTTGCAGTACTAAGTTTTGTAGGTAGACTCTAAACACTGAGTTTGTTATTAGTGACCAGTGTTCATAGAGGAAGTACAGAGCTACTTTCTTCCAGACTTTTGGTCCCAAGGTCTTCATCAGTCAGTTCAGTCAGTTTGTGACCTTGGGGTGTGTGTGTGTGTGTTTGTGTGTGTGTGTGTGTGTCTGAGGGGGGGGGGCTTGATTGATTGTGTTTCTGACATCAAGCCTTTGACTCGTTAAGCTCTGACAGTGGCCCTGTAGATCCTACCTGGCAAGGCTTGTCCTAACAGGAATGCCTTTTCTTTAGCAGCCTATCACAGCCCTCTTGAGCGTAACAGCAGAAGACACTATCCCTGAGGCCAGAGAAGTACAAAAGCATTGAATTTCAAAAGGACACATACTAAAACAACAATGTGTTCACAGTAAGAGTGCTTTAGGGTGGCAGGACAGCATCCTCCTGGACCACCTGGAGACTTGGTTTCCCCAGTGTATGTCTGCGGGTGAGTGACTGCTGAGGCACAGGAAGCACAGTTCTGGGTATGTGAAGAGACGGTTATGAGACAGGGAGGACTGGTGAGCTTGGTAGCAATAGGCACATGCATAACATTTACATTGTAAAACACAATCATTCTTGAATTCAACAGACCTAACTGTAGTACAGTAAACAGGAGAGCTGTAAGATTCTTCACTGTGTTGAATGAATGACTTGCCATGCTCTCACCTTTTTTCTTATTCTAGTGTAGCAACATAGAGTAATGACAGTATTGAGTTAATTCCCTTAAAATCCTCACCTCATTCCTTTCTCCAGCTTTCCATTCTGTTCCTTCCTTCGCTGTCTCATTTGCGTTTGTGTGCCATGCTTATGCTTCTGTCACACTTGGACTTAACTTCCCTGTCATCTGTTGTATTAGTCAGGGTTCTCTTGAATCACAGAATGTACAGAGTGTCTCTATATAGTAAGGGAATTTATTGTGATGACTAACAGTCTATAGTCCAACTAACCCAACAATGGGCATCTGTGAATGGGAAGTCCAGGAATCTATTGGTTGCTCAGTCCCACAGGGCTAGTTGTTTCAGCTGGTCTTCTGTAGAAGTAAGTTCCAACAGACATGTTAGCAAGTAAATACAAGCAGTTGAAGAAGAGTGACTCTTCCTTCTTCTAATGCCCTTATGTAGGCTTCTAGTAGAAGGTATGGCCCACATTAAGATGTGTACCTCCATGCTTGAATCTGGAACTTCTTTTGTTCCGTGCTTACCTTGAACTCAGAGATCCCTTTCCTCAGTCTCCTGGGATTAAAGATGTGTACTACTTTACCGGTGCCTAAGCTTTTCATGGCCACTATGCCTCAAGATCTCCATGTCAAGATCCAGGTCAGAAACTTGTGTCTTCCAGTCTCAACATCTGGATCACAGTGTGCCCTCCAATTCTGGCTTGTAGTTCATTCCTGATATAGTCAAGTTGACAACCAGGAATAGCCACCACACCTATTATCTGTCACATGCTCACTACTCTTACAGGCGCAGGTATTTGTAGAAAGGAGCGTCCTTTTTCCACTCAGACACTGATGGTCCGCACATGAAGGGAATGACTAGTGGTAGCTATATAGATGGATGAGTACCATCCTGGAAGGCCACTGAGGTGAAAGAAAGAGGGGACATCTGTGGTGTGTGTGTGTGTGTGTGTGTGTGTGTGTGTGTGTGTGTATGTGTTTGTATGCACGTGCGTGTCTATGTCTCAGTTTGTGTGTATATATTTCTAGTGTGCACAATGGTTTAGTTTCTAAGGCTTTTCTCCTTGAACATCTTACAGCTTGACATCTCGAATCTCTTATCATGGTTTAGATGTTACTCCATTCTCTCTCCAATGTTGAAGACACTGAAAGGCCAAGTCTGCAAAGACTTGAAATGGCTTTTCAGATACTCAGGGGTTCCTGACAGAGGTGTGTCAGCAGAGGAGCTTTGGACCAGGAGGACTTTGTCTTGTAGCAGCAGGAAAAGAGTAGTATGCCTCTTGCTTTTGATGAGACTTAATAGTCATATGGCAACATGAATAGCTCAGAAATTCCTTATTCCCATTATGTACACATGACAGCCATGAGCTACAAGCAACCCTCTTGTCTTCCTGGTTGGCTCCATCAGCTCTGAGCTTGTGTGCCATGGTTTTGCATGTTGACTTGGTGCTGTCTTCATGTAAGCCATTTTCGCATGAATGTCTGCACATGACTAAGAAGGGAGTTGTAGCTTCATTTGGCTTAAGCCTCCCCCCCCCGCCCCCCAGTTTGAAGGCCTGAAGGTAAGCTCTGTTCTTCAGCAGGATGACACTGAGTCAGAACCCCTGAGTGACCTTACGTGTGACACTGATAGAAGCCCCACAGTGCAGCAGTAGCTGCTCTCACAGTGAGCTTGCAGCCTGCTGTCTGTTCTGAGACACAGCATGTATCCAGGCCTTCTCAGTGTTCTTCAGACTCTGAGCTTCATGCAATAACTTGCTCATGGCTCAAGCATCTAAATCTTTTTTATCTGAGCTGCATTCAAAGTTTATCATTGGCTTTGATTTGTAGTTTTTATTAAGTAAACTGAGATATAATTTCATGATGGAGTCTATGTATTAATTGCATTATTGCAATATTTGTCTTTTTTATGCTATACCCATCAAAACCATGAATTTTAGGATAAGAGCACATCTTATATGGATCTACTCAGAAGAGGTAGAGCCAAGTTCAGAGTCAGTATCATCTCCTTTGTGTTCATCCCGACAGTGGGCTGAACCTTCCCAGACCAGGTTGGGACAGCCTGTCACCGTGGTTGCAATTTCAAATCTAAGTTGTCAAACTTTTTCTTACTGAACTTTTGAAGTATTTTAACTGTTTTAATACCATCTCCAGGAAAATAGATCCAATAACTTTGATCTTACAATGAGAAGAGAGTTAACTGCCATGAATCTTAAGATAACAGAGAGGATTTTGTCATTTCACCTTGAGTTATCTTTGTTACAAATGTTGGTTTATATATAGACTTAAAGTTACTAGACTTAGAAATGCCAAAGCAATGAATTTTTTTTCATATTTTCAGAACCGATTTAATGTTCATGGTATAAAGTATTTCTAAATTGAAACGCTCTCAGATTGATGGACATAAGGTAAATGGTCAGTGTTCTCTAGAAGTAGCAATAATGAGCTGTGGCCTCAGCTGCATGTCATACACCAAATCTCATGCCCTATTTTATTGCTTCATTTATTCATTCATTTCTTCATTCATTCAACAAATATTTATTGAGCACTGAAAATGTTCCAGAGTAGGCTAAGCCCTGGAGATGCAGATCAGTTGAAAAACTAAAGTCAAGAGCCACTGTGAACAAAGGCAAGGGCCATCTCCCAAAGGAAAGTTCAGTACAGCTGGGATCTGAGGAAGTAAGGAGATTAGACCATGGGTAGGAGGGAATACAACACGTTACTCATGTAGAGAGGTAATCAAATTGTGAAGGGTCATGATAGCCTGACACAAGACTTTGAATTTTATTTTACACGTAATAAAATGGGATTGGTTTAGGAAAGCTCATCCTGACTGCAGCCCAGAATGGCATGGATTAGAACAAGGCCTCAGACAGGGAGACCGGGTGGAAGGCTGTGGAGTGGGAACACAGTGGTCTGGACTAGGACAGTGACATGGCAATCTGGGTAGAAGTAACTGGTTCCTTCAGAAGAGCTTTAGTAGCTGAGACATCCTTGGGTACCGGGGACGGAACGAGGGTCTGGGCGCTTTAGTAGCTGAGACATCCTTGGGTACTGGGGACAGAACGAAGGTCTGGGCTGTCTCGGGAAAGTGGCCAAGTTAGCACTCAGTTCTCAGTGGTGGTGTGGAACTGTGGAGAATAGTTACCATTCATCAGAACTTCATGACTCTCTCAGCCTGTACAAACTACAGCCATTGTCACACCTGCAGAGCTCAGACCATGTTCTCTCCACAGTTGAGTGTTACAGGTTCCTGCCTTACAGATGGAGACTAGACCTTAGAAAAGAGAAGAACAGACTCTGTCTGAGGGTGCAGACTCTGTCTGAGGGTGCAGACTCT